TTTCTGTCCATCTTAGTGGAAAGGATTTGGTTAAAGAGAAGCCTGGGGTAAAATATCCCCTTCTTGTTTGCTGGTTTTCAGTGGGAAAATGAAACATCAAACATTGCAGCTCCCGTGTAATCCAGATGAACTGATAAAGTAAATTTATTTGGTCACTTGGTCTGTGTAGCTCTGAAACTGCCTATTTGCCATGACTAATAGTTTCAGTTTGTTAACAGCGCACACTCCGCTCTGCCAGACACAGTTTACCATCTCCACCAGGCAAGCTAATGGAAATTAATGGTGATCTGCTTGAGTAACAACTGAGTAGTCATCACACAACTGAGCACTTGGCTCCCTGATAGTGAAATTATCTCCAAGAGTAGAAAAAGGAAGGAAATATGATCCAGTAAGTGACCTAGATACGTGCAATTTTCATGTAGCAATGCTTTTAGGTGCCTGACACCTGAAATTGAGAATCTGGAACCTGTATTGCTCAGGAGATGTTCATATGAAAACTTCAGGAGGGTTAAACAAAAGATCAAGGAACTGTATAAAGGTAACCAACAGGGAATACAATAGTGCAAGACACTAGATAGGTCTTCTGCCTTGCCTCATCTTTCTGGACACTTGACTAGATGCTGTAGGGAGGTATATCTCTTCACCTGAGAGTGTCACCAACTTTCTGGCACATTAGGAAGAAGTGAGCAGAGATCATCACTTCCCTTGGAAATGTGGTTGCCAAAAGATCCTGGTGCGGGTTAAACTATTTGCAGACCATTGTAGGCTAATGGCTAGAACGCGTGCTTGGGAAATAGGAGAGGCTGGCTCTATTCCCTTCTCACGCGTGGGGATCACACCCATGGCATTTCCTCTGCCTGAAGGGGCTATAGCTACAGTGATGATCTGTGCAGGACCTGGGATTATAGAAGTGTGGTGTACAGCTCACTCCTGGCCCAAAGCAGCAGCCTAAATTAGGAACCCAGGGGTAGAGTGTCCAGCTGGGAGTGAGGGCACAATTTTAATACTTGCCCCCATACTATCTGCACGTTTGGCAATGCAAACAGACCTGCAACCTCCTCCTTGGGTCCAAATTCCCTAAATGCTCAGCTGCAAGGTCTGGATTTTCCAAGTTTCTGGGGGTTTCCAACTGAGAAAAAGGTATTTTTGCATCACACTTCTGTACTTAGTCACATCCCCCACAAGTCCTGTTTTGTGCCGTTAAAACAAATTCTCCCTCTAAAGGCATTTCAGCACTATTGTGAAAGATAACACTGCAGAATTATCAGAGCAGAATAATTAAATGAGAAGTTTTTTCCAGTTCTTCCTCCAAAAAGGCCTTTCTTCATTTTTGTTTCTTCAGGTTTCGGCAAAAAAATGTTGCTCTACTCCCCACTTTTGAATCTTCCTCCTCATACTCTCCTTTCTGACTAAATTTGACACCCCTTGTTGGCCTTGTGCAAATGACTACGCAGCGGGGGTTGTCCCACGTTTGGGACCCAATGGTAATTGTAATTGAAGCCCTGTACAGCTTAGTACTACAGCCGAAAGAGATGTCATTACTAAGTAGGCTGCTGTGCTCATCCTCAAATGAGCTTCAGGGCTGATCCCAAGGTGTCAATGGTATTACTATAATAGCTGAAGCAGGAACAATATCTTAGCACATAATGAGCTATGCTACATTTACGAAGAAAGAAAGAACAATATTGTAGTTTAAAAAACAGACAGGGGTGTTATACATAACTATTATAAGCAACAGCATATGAAGAACTAAGAATTAATACAATCATGGAAATGTACTGGCCTTTAGCAATGTGCTTATTATTAGTCACTAAATATGGATGTTCTAAAATTGAAATGCACGAAGCACATTGTATTATCTTTACATCGGGCAAAGACATTGCTGGACTTAGGGAAAAAGGGTAAATAGTATAGAAACAGTAATCAGGACATCACCTAAAACCTGCTTGAGAGCTTCAGCAAATGAAACAAATTTTGGAGTCATTGTAAACTGTATTAAATCCCTGTAATAATCATTCTTCTATTAGCTCCAATGATCCCAAGAACTATCAGTACATTATCTATAATTCCTGTTTTTTATCATAATAAGCATAATCTCAGGAAAACCTCATTCATACCTTGAAACATCTGCAGTGAAGAGCCATCTAAAATACCTATGCATAAAACAGCTTGAAAGATCAGAATTTATTGTTCCTCCATCCATAATGGTAAAAAACATGTATTCCATTTTAAAAGTGTGTGGCTAAAAGTGTGATACTAATTTCCTGACCTGCTTCATAGTGTGGCCCTATAGTGTAGCTATATATATATATATATATATATATATATAGTGTATATATGTATATTAGTATATATATATAGTGTGTATATATGTGTATAGTATAGTATACAAGTCAGGTGTTAATAAGCAGCCAGAAGGCGGCAAGAAGAAATGCATTTCATGGATCCTGTCATGAAAGCCAATGTGTGGCTGAGTAATGGCATGAGTATGTGCTGGGGACCAGTCTCATTTCTGATTTCTCCCCGTGTTTCTGGTAGCACAGCTCCAGTGCAACTGTGCTCTCCATGAGGCTGCTCTGGACTGTCCAGCCTCCCTTCAGCTGCAAGCAGGCTGTCCGTGGGCAGTAGTGTCTGATGTGTAAAAAAGTTCTAGCACAAAAGACCCAAAAACTAGGGCACTTGAGTGTACTGCTTTGCACATCCCAGCTTGTCTGTCATGTCACACCTGAATCTGGATCATTGGAGAAGGGGGCAAAGCCATGGAGATTCTGGTCTGTTCCTCCATCCAGAGGTTGACAGGGTCCATCTCTTGGGGCTCCCCTTTATGTGAGTCTTTCTGCCTCCACATTGTTTCTTCCCTGCCCATTGACCAGCACTTTTTACCTGCATGTACCTTTTTATTTCAATGCGATCACCCTCCTTTATCCAACACTGATGCTAACTCAAGTGTGCTGTTATGGACTATTCTTATGGTTAAAGTAGAGAAAAGCCACTTAGTCAGATGCTTTATACTTGGATTGTTAAAATATTGTTGTTCAACAGTTGTTGAAATTGTTGTCACTGGAAAAGACTTCTATGAAAGAGGAAGAAGAAAGAGGTGCTGGACTTTATGTAGCATGTCAGCCATTCCTGTGGTTAGAACTGGCTAGAAGAAGACTAGAAATATCAAGACTATGTAAGATTTACTGTGGGAAATAATTCTTACTCATTTACTCATATGTAGTATCATATGGCACTGTCATCACAGTTAACAGGGGGGAAAATAATGTGTTAAAGATTTTACAGATGGCTTTATTTTAATTAGGAGAGATGGGAGCAAGATACGTTTTAAATAGATCTTTCAGTACATAATAACAAATGTTCACTAAATCTCATGAGGATAAGTTTTACCTGCAGCTACAGCTATAACACAGCATAGTGCTGCAAGCAGTCCCAGCACAAAGTACAAGTAGACATATCGCAGATAACTTCAATTGCTATTGATTTTGCTTATGCTTTCTGGATCACGATAATGTGTTGATCTCTGTGCCATTTGTGGAAAGTGATGTGTATTTTAAAACTGTCAACAGTTTATAAGACTAAGTCCTTCCTTCACCTGCTTTTTACCAAATCCTTACAGATGCAGCAGAATTAATGAGGCTAGCAAGAAGAATTAGAGGCACCTATCAAGCTGGCTTTATACCACACTACAGAACACTTCCCAGTACAGTGTGTAACTGTATGAACACCATATTTGTGCGTATTCATGTTTGCTCATTGCACAGCTGACCAAGACCTATTCTTTATATCTTCACGAATCTTTTTGGCAGTTTTGAACCAATACACACTGGAGTGAATAGTCTGGAGAAGATGCAGACAATTCCAGGCATTTTCCCCTGATCTATCTGTCCAATTCCTGCTTCAACTGAGTTGTCTACAGTTGCCAATCAAATGCAAATATGTGGCCAACAACATAATTACATATTATTTCTGTGTCATTTGCCTGTCCCAATACTTCTGTCACATCAGAATGATTCTGGCAAGGCTCAGACAGTAATAAGTCTACTTCTTATTAGAGGCAAATCCTCTCAACTATCTTTTCCATCACTTTGTATTTTAGGTAATCTCAGTGACACATGACTGCAACGCTCCCATTTGGATCTAGTAGGAGATTACATCCACATATGCTATGTTGAAGTGGAAGTCCCACACCTTTATTATATTCTGACATTACATATTTCTGCTTTAGATGAGAACAGTTACAACTGATCTCATATTTTCCTTCCCTTCTGAAAATGGGTGATCTTCCACACCATTTCAATGAGAAAAGCTGTGACAGTGCTATTGCAGAGATAAATGTTACACAAATGATTGTGTTGCTCACTACATGTCAAGTAGACTGAGAATCTAAATCCATATGCCTTTTTTCTATTAAATTTCTGGTTTTCAGATACGTAGGGTGCTCACAGGATTGTTTGCCCAGGTAGGAAACATATCACTCTTCATTTTCAAGCTGTCTGAAAAATAAAGGGATGTGGGTGCTCACTGTCTTACTGTGGCTGAAGGTGATATATAGGCATGTTGTTCAGCCCATATACCACTAACAGTCCATGAGATATCAGAAGACATTATGTCTTGACAAAAGCCACGTTCCTCTCTAATGCTCAAGTTTCATTTTTATAAAACTAAAAACAGTGTGTTAATGCAAAGAGCTTTGCTTTCTTGAACTCCTACAACTGTGAAGCAGTATGATGATACATGGTGGCCCCTGGATAGTTTTCCGGGAAAGGCCAGATGGGTGTTGATTTAGGAAAAAAAAAGAAAACCAAAAAGCTGCCAATCCAGTTCCCTCCAAGCCTGTGCAGTCCTGTTCATGCTCTGCCTCTCCAGTACTTTGTGCAGCTGAAGCAGTCATTCTCAATGGCCTAAGGGTTGCAGTGCCACATGTCCTAAAAAAACAAGGAAATTATCTTGACAAGTAAAGTCTAATACTGCTTTTGTTTTTGTTGTTTAATTCCCAGAAGGGTCAGCTACAACGTGTCTCTCCAGGAAGACTCCACAATGAAAACAACAACCCCCAGTTGCTTCTTATTGATCATCCTTCTAACTGTAAGTACAAGGAAACTGAACTGCTCATGACACCTGCCAAATTTAAACTTGTAGTGATATTCAGAAAAATGAATACTGTTATATTTGTTATACTGCACAAGTGAAGGAATGAGTTCCCTTACTGATAAATTTCAAAATAAGGTTAATAAAGTTTCTAAATAAGATATCTCATAAAAGTCTAAACTTGAAACCATTGTTTCTTGGTGAGACAGAACTACAAGTCTGAAGAAGGTAATGCATGTGATTTTTCATTTCTGTGTTTTACAGGCTACAACATATCAGTGACATGGAAAGTTATGTGTTTGAAAACCTCCTTAATGTTTTTGTGTGATACTTAGACTGACTTCAGTAATTGTGGATTTGCACTGTTTACGGTTACTCTCCTATTAGGAAAGCAACTGAAATGGAAGATAGCAGTATAAAGTTTAGTTATTCAGTTAAAATGTTATTTTCAATGTTTCATATCAATATTATAGTTATTCCAATGCAGGCAACATGGCTGAGTAACTGTTTTCCTAAATATGTAGTAAATTAATTTCTACCTGACTAAATACCTCTCATTAAAGTTGAATGCTTTCTCTTATTTCTACTTGTGAAACCTCAAATTATTAGCAATTATCATAAAATCGTAGACATTACAGGAGTCAGAAATGAGACTACTACCCAGAGCCTCAGTTACAGAACGGTCAGAAAATGTCTGAAGGATGTTACTGGGAACAAGCACCTCTTTACCTTGGTGTGATATGAATAACTTGTGTGTTGGATGCCACCTTATTCCCCATCCAACTGTTTGCATTTGTGTTCTTGAAGAAAGCTTTGATACTTATTCTTCTTGTGTTTTGTTGGTTAGCTCCTCATGCCCCTCTGTTTCTCATCTTCTCTTCCAACACCTGAATGTGGAACATTTGTGCATGTCTCCCCATCAACTCCCATCCTTTCTGGCTATAAATTGTAGAAAGATAGAAGACATGCCGGTGAACAGTAGAGACTGGTCTCCCTGGTTTGTTTGTTGGGTTTTGTCCCTCCTCTTCTCTCAGCCTCACATAACTTGCCTGTAGTGCTGTTTGCCGCTTAAATGTATATGGATAAAAAGGAGGGAAGGAAAGTAGAGAACAGTAAGAGATTTATGGATAGAAGAAGTAGAATAATTAAATGAGATCATGGAGGACCCATGAGAACAACAAGAAACACGTACTTTGGTAAAATACTGAATTCATAGTTTGGGATTAAGACCCTCAAACAAAGAACTGGAGAGCTGGAGAAAGCATGAAAGACAGTTAATACATTTCTGCTAACTTGGTCTCAAAATAATTTGTCCAGAATTAGTTAATGATTTGAGGAATCATCCCTGCACTTGGCAGAATTTTTCTGCCTTGAGGTGTACTGGAGTATTCTGGTGTTTGTGAGCAAGTTTGTGTACGTGCAAGGGATGCACATAGCAATGCACTGTCTGGGAAATCACCCATGGTCAGTGATCTCTCTAACAAAACAGTCTGACAGAGACCAGCTTTTTTCTGGGTTTGAATCCCAGCCGGTCTGCATAACCTGACAGAAGCCTTGGCAAAAAACCAAGGATTCTTCCTATAACAAGCCAATGCTGACTGAAGGAACAGTTCCAGATTATATTTCTTCCTCAGTCAAGTGACAGGACTGAAAATATTCTGATAACTAAAACTGTCAAAAGCATTTCTGAGCATCTGAGGTGCTCTGACCTATTGCATGGATTTGTAGGTCAACCCTGAAGGACTGGGCCAGCCCTTGCCCTATTGTCCACAAATCTTTTAAATCTCTCACCCATGGTATCATGTGTGCAACGTTAGTTCTGCATTCATTCCTGCAGTACTCTGGGACTGGGACTAGGATTTCTTTAAGAAACTGCAGAGTTAGACCTGCATCCCTTTCCTAACAGATATCTTTGCACCAGAGGGCTCTCCAACCTCTGGATCACTTAAGCACAAGTTTCCTTACATTTTCACTGTTCCAGTCTCTATATTCCTTCCTTCCCCACAGCAGTGGCCTTACTGTGATCTACTTAGACACCTCCTAGATTAATTTATCTTCTGGTAAGGGAGAAGATACAGTCATACAGTCATAGAAGTAGACCGTGAACAAGGTTTGTTTCCTTGATAACATTTAACAGAACACTGTTGTTAAATCAAATATGAAAAATATTTGGTGTCAGTCATTTTTCCAAAAATTTCCCCACCTGTAGCTGGTAAAAAACATGTTTTTTTACATTTTGTTTGTGGTCTGTAGCAAGAAAAGGGTGTCTTTCTTTCTCTTCCAAAAAGACTGTTCCCACTCTGTCAGTTTTAATCACCTCTTGGTTCCTAGAGCCGTGAGCCCTTGGGACTTACATGTCTGTCACTGTCTGAGGTTGAGGTATAGTAATTAAAGTGATTTGTGACACAGAGGTGATCTCCCATTCCTGTTCTCTTCCCACCCCACAAGCCATTCTACAGATCTTTCTTCTTTGATGTGTTTGATGATTTACTGTCATCCTCTCATCTGTGTCCTGCATTCCCAGCTGGTGTCTGCAAGCTGTTGCAAAGCAACATAACCTTTTGAGGTCCTTGCTTTCTCCTCTGGGCCCCAGGCTCTCTGATTATGCCATTGTCCCACTGTAGGTGTCAGTCCCCCTGCAGTGAGCACCATTGTTGAGAAGGGCATGCTTTTTACCTGAAATCTCTTTTCTTTGGGTAACTGTGATTCTCTAACACACTCTCAGTGTTGGAGCACTCTCTGTTCTGTATACAGTGTCAGTGCCGTGCGGAAGACTTCCTCAGATTCATCCCATATCTCTCCTTGAATGTTTAGTCATAGACTGTAGTTACATGATGTCCATAGACACGCCCTCCCCACAGCCTCCTTTAGACTTGTCACCAAGGGGTTTTGGTACCTTCTGATAGAAACCATCTCTCTTACGTATGTCATTTTTTGCATAGCATAAATAGCACTTTATTCTTCTGTGTACAGGGCCATAATAATTTGCCTTTGCCAAACAAAAAATAAAGCACCAGTTGCTCCAAAACCTAATTCAGAAATAAAACTAACTCCTTATTGTCTTCCTCTTTGACAGCTTCCCTGTCATATATGATGCATAATAATGCATCACCAGATAGTCCTCTATAATTCAAAGTGAATTTCAATGAATTTAACTGTTTGTTATTTCTTAGTTCAGTTTATTCCCAGTGCTCTTTAGTTTTTGGTAATTACTGAGAGCCACAGTGTGTGACTGAGTTCTGTTTCCTCAAGTATGTGAGCCCCTGTGCACTGGAGCAATTTGTTCATCTCCTCAGAGCTCATTTCTCTCCACAAGAAAAATGGAGCATCAGCACCATGTGTCTAGGGGCATCAAACTCCAGAGAATGAGGATGAAACAAGCCTGGGTCTCTTTCCTGTGTGACCGATCAATTTTGCAGGACATTGAGAAAAGAGAGTTCTATTCTATGCATGATTTTGTCAAGTAAGAATTGTCATCTAGTGCTTATAAATGATAGTTTGGTGTTATTCTGTAAATGAAGATTGATGGAGTAGTTGTCACACATTCCGGTTTTGTTGTCCTGAGCCAACCACAAAGTGCACAGCAAGGACAAAATGGATGCTGCAGATGAAGGCCACACTATTATTCAATTAGGTCCATTATACCAAGATTGTATTTAAAAATAAATTAATTTTGAGTAAAAAACAAATTTTACAAGTTCATTAAGTCCAAATCTGTCAAAGCCTCAGTCACTAAGCTATACACAGTTTGGTACATTGTGTCAGCTCCCCAAAGGCCTGGGAATAATCCCCATTCACAAATCACGGAAAATTAACTATATGAAAGCCTAAATGTAATTTTCAGTAACTGCACAAACTGGTGTGTTTTGGAGCACAGTTGTGCTAGGTGTAAGTGTCCAGAAGCCAATTAGTAAACCATTTTCCTCTGTGATGAGGGCACCCCTCATGGTGTACCCATCCGACCCTCACAGCTGGGAGTGCAGTAGGCACCGGTGGGGTGGTGCGGCCATGTGCCTCCTGGGCTCCTGCCCAGATCAGTGTCTCTCACCACAAGTCTCTAAAACCTGTGTCTGTGTGCGTACCCTAAGCACAAGCCTTTTCCTGCTTAGGCATCGACTCTTCCAGCATCTGGTCCAGAGCAGGCCCTACCCTTTGGTGGGCCAGAAGAGCTGCTGAAGATCTGTCACATCCTCCTTTGGCATGCTCCATCAAACCCTTGCTTGCTGTCTGATACAGCTGGAACCCAGGGGTTCCCCAGCCTTGGATGATGAGATTCCCCTGGGTCTCATCACCTGAGACAATGGCTTTGAAAGCTGTTGGTCTGTAGTGCGCATTTCCTTTGTAACTATAGGTTGCTGCAAGGGGTAAGGAAGTGGACTTGTAAGTTCTGCAGCTCTTCTCACAAAAGGAAAACTCAGGAAAGCAAGTGGATGGTGAGAAATATTGTTAGAATTTGAGACTCAGGCTGTTCACAGTTTCCTGAGAGGGAGAGGAATGCCGTATTCTGTTCTATTCACCCAGTCTCAGGGGTGATCAGGACTTTTTGTCTCCATCTTTGCTTTTTAAAAAAATAAGAATGTTGCTGTGGAGCTGATTGACCTAAAGAGGCCTCTCACAAGATGATAATCAGAGCTGCAAGCAAAAATCCATGAAGTATTCTGCAGCCTTCCTTTAAGCCTACAGTTTGCATCAGGCTGCTCTGGGAGTAAAGCTTCCTTGTATGAGTAAATCCTGCAGCAGTGGAAAAGAACTGTTAGATTAATGAGTTGCTTCTCATTACAAGTGCCTTGTCTTCATCTGCAGCGGCTGATAATCTCGTGCTTGTTTAGACAGCTGCCAAAATCTGCAATGTAAGTCATATGGGATCTTACTGTGAGAAAATTTCCATCCTGCTACAACAGCAATTGAGTATGAGAAAAATTTAACATTCAGTAGTTAAGTAAAACGTGTCATGTTAAGGTATTTCCCCAAATAAATTGTCTGATATTTCCTAGCACATTTCTGAAGGATAAGAAATCATTGTTATGTTTACTGAGTACCATGCACTAATGTCCTTCCTAAGGCATCAGTCATTTTCTTCTCTGTCCTAACATTAGCAGCTGTGAAAAGTAGTTCAAACATAATCGAAGTATGAGAGGGGCTCTGCAACCATGCTGTTATCTCGCTCAAAGATGTGATACATTGAAGGACAGGAGTTTAGTGACCCACAGAGTGGTCACTACACATAGTATTTTTAAAAAATTTGTACCAAATCAATATTTGAGCTATCAAAATCAGTAACAAACAGTGGATCAAGAATTTTAAATATATTTTGACTGAGCTCCACAATAAATGTTGCAAAATTACTGTATTTAGTGGAAGAAGGGAAAAAAAAAAAGCAAAGAAAGCTGCAAATACCTTATTTTCCTTAATGTCATGTATAGTCAACAGTTTGTTGACAGAACTTCAAGCTCCTTGATGGTGCAAGGAAAATATTTGGGGATACATGTTCATCATGTCCAATGTTTTGTGGGAAAATGAAAAAGGAATTTTATGCTCGCTTTATGTGGATTCTGTCTTGCAGAAATGGGCACAGTCTTGCACAAGTTAATGGCAGCTGTCTTTCTTGCAGAAACTGGGGCACTATTTTTTCATTTTGATACAGTTTAATAATGAAGCCAAATTGCTTTCTCTAGATTCCTTTATTAATTCCAGGTATAAAGTGAACTTCACCATTCCCAGCAGCCTGTTTTTTCTCTTTGTAATGATAATTCATTTTCTTATAACAGTAATTTGTCACGTGGTGGCTTGGTGGTCGTATGTATGACGTCATTTACTTGGACTTTTAGGAGTGACATCATATGTACGGCTGCTAAACTGCTGCATGGGACATCACTTAAACAGTTTTCTTCTGAAGAAATCATACCAATTATTTTCAGGCTATGAACACAACCTGATGATTAAGTTGTGAAATATTTATTTCTCTTTAATAAAAAATATTTACAAATGAATAAGGCATTCCTTTATTGCATCAACATCATTTGTATTTCCATCTGAAGTAACTGATAGATGGATGGGAAGGGATTTTAATGTGCAGTAATGGACTCTGAACATTCAAATTTTGTTCAATTCCGTAAGTAATAACCAGGTGAAAATTATTTAATCTTGGCTTTTTTTTATGGCGAAAATGTGTTTTAAAACTTAATTCCTAAAATACCTAGATACAATGATTAAAACATAGTAGCAGAGGTGATTCCTAATTGTTAATTCCATGAGAACACACACACACTTGTGGGACATTCCCAGCCTCTCCCATTAGCATGATACAGAGTGAGCTTTCCCCGCTGTGTAGCCATGTACATTTAATGGGCTTATCACATATGAACAATACCTACACATACACACCTACATATAACCCCTTAATTTGATTTCACACACAAGCTATTAGTTTACTTCAAAAGTTCCTGGAAAGATTTTTGTGCAGATAACTTTGAAAATCTGAGTCTTTGAGTTTGATAAAAAAGAAAAAACAATCAGTAAATTAAGAGATACCTGTAATCTGATATTATTATTCCAGTTTTTATCCAAATTTGCTTTAGATTTATTGTAGGCCATTAAGTGATTCCTACTGATGAAATAATTTCCACTGAGCTTTAGTGACGTGGTCTCATCCATATTTTGAATCTCTCTGAGTGAATTCCTGGCCCAAATGTGGGCAATAGACTTTTTGCTGGCAATTTCAGTTGGGCCATGATTGCCTTGCACAGAGACAGTAGAATGGTCAGTCCTCCTGCTTACATCCTTGACCACGTTAAGTAATTTTGTGCACAGTCCAAGACTTTTATCCTATCCACCACGACAGGTACTCTCTGTCTCCAAGTATTAAATTATTCTTATTAACCCATACCAAACAAGAATTGGATTACACACAGCTGTGTCCCTTGTGCACAGCATGTTATGAAACTGATCTTTAAGAGTAAGGTGTCTTTGGTCTCTGAATTGTATCTTACCTCCCAAAATCATTATCCCTAGTTACAAACTGTTACATCTTCACCACTTAAAAGATGTAAATAAAGCATTCCTTTTCTGAGGGCATAACTTACTTTAGATTGCAGTTTATATGTTTCCATACTATGCAATCTTCTGGAACTGGTCTGTTCTTTTAAAAATGGTCTGTAAAAGAGGCTCCAAAAAACCTTAGAATAAGGGAAAGATGTTCTGAAGCACTGAACAACTTCTATAGTTTCTATCTGTGTAGCTGGCACTTGCCAATTGTTTCATATCTGTGCTGTGCTTTATTCTGTACACATAAAGCAAATAAAACTTCAACAGTATTTATGGCCAGCAACACCAATCTTTCTGGTCTCTGCCAGTGTGAAATGATTTTGATCTTGTTTGGTCAAACAGACGTGAAGAACAGATCATGTCCTTTCTAGAAGAAAACAAAAATAAAATAAAAGCATTCTTTCAGGGCAGGGAAAATTGGTGAGCTTTTCCAAGCATAATCAGATGGTTATGCTTTCAAAATGTGGATGTGTTCCCAAACTGGCCCAGAATAACAGAGGAATTGTTGAGAACAGAGGTGATGCCACAGAAGTCACCCTGGCTTTCCTTGATGATACCGATATTCCTCTTTTGAATTCAAACAGCTTGGAACTGAGGTATTATTTGAAACAAGAATGGAAAAAATAAGCATGGAGTATGAATCACTTCAGAGAAGTACCAAAACCTGTGGTGATACATGGACATGAAGGCCTAAGACAGACCTGAGGGTGTCTGAAGAACCTCATCTGCACTTTTCTACATTACATACTGGATTTAGGCTACTTGCTTGGTTTTTAAATGATCATCATGGACTCCAGCTACTCCCTTTAATCCTTTCATAAATGAGGGATCTGTGATGTTTGGCTTTCCTTATGTATTTCTTGTTCCAGCTTTCTAGATGCTTAATTTTTCACTTGAATGTCCAGAGGAAATGTTTCAAATGGATTCACTGTCTAAATATATACTTGTGCATGTATGTTTCTACATACACATAAGATTTATATTAAATTGTTTCTGTCAGAAAACACCTTCCTTGTTATTATTCCTGGTCTATTTCAACTGCCTTCACTGTCCTCCAGTCTTCAGACAGTATCTGTGTACAGTTGAAAATTAAGATATTTGTATCAAGAGATTAGATTAAATTAAGAAAAAATAATTGACTGGGTGTAAGAGTATAAAAAGATTCAACTGAGACAGTTTGGAACAGAAGTATCAAGATAAAGTAATGGTGTTTTGGTTTGGTTTGGTTTGGTTTTTTTTAACTAAATAAAACATACTGTGGTTTTGCTGTCTGTTTTACCAATGTGTTTTAGTTGTGCAAATGGGAAAAAAGTAATGTATTAATGAGATACATTTGCTTGTGATGTGCAATAGAAAAAAAAAAAAAAAAAAAAAGAAGCAAAAAATGTAAGAATTAAGCTAATACTTGAACTTTCAAACCTGTGATGTTTTCAGTTCGAACAACTGCAAATGCTTGCTTAAAGATCTGTGTACCAGTATTTGCTGCTAAAAACATCAAGTCTGTGTGTTTATGAGTACTAAGTTTTGAAGCAGCCTGTAAATTACTCTGTATGTGTTTGTGATGGCTTTAGTAGGGTTTAATATGGGGAAAAATAGAGAGTCATCAAGCAAAATGCCACAGCAGCATTGCTTTTGCTTGGGGAAGCAGAGGAGCTAATCCTTTCCTATCACCTTCATGCAGAGAAGTGTCCTAATGATACAGGATTAAGAAAGAACAGAATTAACTAAAGCTCCACACTCTCATTTCCACCCTGCCTCACAGGCCTGGCCTGTTCAACAAAGGGATGGATGGATGGATGGATGGATGGATGGATGGATGGATGGATGGATGGATGGATGGATGGATGGATGGATGGATGGATGGATGGATGGATGGATGGAAAAAAAGATAGCTGACCTCTCTACCTGTGATTTTTGCCTTCCAGAGGCAATGATCCTTCCCTTTGCCCCACAGTCAGCTCAGAGTGGGAGAAATCAGAAAATGCCACTTGATCAAAGAGGACCTTGCTATTCAGACTGTCAAGTTTAGGAATATTTTGCTTAGGTACTTAACTAGGATCTAAGGCCAGGTAATGAGATTTAAACTGTCTGCCCTGTGTTTCTATAACCTTGACAGTTGAAGGAGCTCAAATCAGGTGACATAAAACATGAAATAATCAGTTTTGAAGCTGTGGCACTGAGGTATTTTGTCTGGGCCGTCTGGAGAGAAACTAGCACAAGTGAGCAGAAATAAATGGATTTCACTTTGGGCAGATACAAATTTTTTTGCAGATAGCTAAGCTAAATAGAAAGATTTTGAAGACTTTATCAAGTATTCAGTGGTCCTCTGTTTTGTCAAGAAAGGACTTTGTTAAAATCCCGAGTTTATAGTGAGGTAAACTAGTAAAAATACATTTACTTTGCAAGCAGTGTAATGCCTATCATAATGCTAAACACATGTGCAAATAAAAGGACTTTGAAGCATGCATAATAGATATTTCTGATCCTTACTTTTTTATTTTATCCTCCTGGTTTATTCACTTGTACTAACAATTTTTCCTTTCTGTACAGAGATTGGTTCCAAGTCATTCTTCTACTGTAAATTATACTGATCCCACATTAGAGCCTGTAGTAACTGAAAATTCAGTCATACGACAGAAGATAATAGATTCACAGTTCAAATGTTATGAGAGGATGAACAGAGCTCCTCCGTATAAGAAAAAAGGTAAAAAAGTTTTTTCAAAAATCCGTTTGTGTATTGCCATGCTTGCTTATATTGCTATAAAAATTTTCTTCTGCATAGTCTTTCTCAGGGTTCCATTTCCTTCCTGTAAGCAGTAGTCAAATTCCCACTAACTTAGCATCCTCATAAGTGCTAAGGTAGAAAAAAAGCCTGGAACAAGCCCAGGGAATGAACACCTCTTCTTCTCCACACAGACAGTACCCCTGTCATCTACATTTCTGGTTCAGTGCTTTGCTGCTTGAATATCTCTCATTCTTGCTTAGGTAATTGCATTGTCAAGAACCTTTCAGCAAGCTCATACAAGGACCTGATGCTGAACAGTGACCTCTTGAATATAAATGTGATTCTGTTTGCTTTGCTCATGGTTGCATTTTTCTGTCATTCTTCTATTGACTGATAGCTGCCATGTTCTGTACCAACACAGATATGCCAGATATTCCATATTCAGCGGTAACACTCACAAAACGATGTTTATAAAGCACTGAAGACATATCTTGATTGAATACAAGGCGCATACTATGATTAATAAAAAGGGAAATGAGAAATAAGAGTGGTGCTACAATGGCACAGTATAAATGAAGCAGCATTTCTGGTTGGGACTGAGCATTCTTGTCACTTTTTCCCTCAGAAAATACGGAAGAAGTTATGAGGAGTCTGGAGAAAAAATGTTGGAGACATGGAGATTTATGCAAGTAAAGAGCAGAGATACTGATGACACAGTTTAAAGAGAAAATGTATTAGAAAATAGTAATTAAAAAAACCCCAACCTAATAGATAGAGTGGAGATAATGTGGGAATTTTTGTAATACAAGAATAAAGACATTTCTACAGCTCTTTACGACAAAGGTTTTACTGAGCTCTTTAAGACTCGGAATAATTAGATGTTAAGATACTCAGGTCTTGATGCAGAAATGTTTTGGAATGAATATAGATATTCCCATTGCTTCAAATAGATTTTCATTCAGGCCAATAATGGGGAAAACTCACAAGTATTTAAATAGGCTTATGGGATAGAAAGCATTATGTTTCAGACATAAACAAGCCTTTAGTTGCTGGGCTTGAGGGGGAAATAACTTACTGTTTGCTCAGATTACTCTTTTAGTCTCCAGCACTATAAATACATAATATCCATTGATAAATACAATATCCATTGATGGTTCCTCTGGACTCACCTTTCTTTTGCACCTTTCATGCATTAGTTGCAAAGGGCTGAAGTGTTTTCCCAGCATGAGCAGGGAGTTTGTGTGTCTCATAACACAGGAATTCCTTGTAGCGTTCTTAAAGGCAGTGTTGTCTAAGGGGGACAGCAGTGGCAGACCTGCAGCCATCGGACACAGCACAGCAGTTTCTGTGTTCCTTCAGCTGGCAGCTAGATTTAAGTGATGCCACCGGAGACTGTTATGTTCATAGCAACACACACTTAATTCATTTATAACCCAGAGTGAAGATAATGGGTGACTAAGGAATGATGCCAACACTACTGAAGTTGTGTTTTAAGCTGAATTACAGGATCTTCACCAGCCCTCCAACATTTACACTGCATAGAGAGTTGGAAGGGAGCAAGGGTCTATGTCTCTTGGATGCAAATTCAAAAGAGAGAATGGGATGAGATGGGAAATGCCCTTAGTGCAAAGGACAACCGTAGGAGTGACTCCTGAGAGGAAAAGCCCAACATACGAGATGAAGGAGTATACTGGGTATGCATTTTCAGCATAAACAACAGTGGAGTCTAACACTGAAATTCCCAGGAAAGCCCAGTGTCTGGTACAACTTTACAGAGCCAGACAAGATGTCTCTATTTTTTCCCTGGTTTCTCTGCAGTCCCTCATGTAGCCTATTTGTAGACTGATGCAAAGGTACTTTAAATCCTTCATAATCCTGGGGCTCAAAGCTGATGACAATGAATTACAGAGAAATGCACAGTATCTCACACTCAGGAGGCAGAGAGATGGTATAATACATGTGAGCTGTGGCAGCATTACATGTAGCCATGTGTCAGCAGAGCCAAAGTAACAGGCTGTGTACACACACTTATCTTGCCCATTTCAAAATAGAATTGATTACCTTAAATCTCAAAGAAATAACAAAAGGAGGAGCCCCGGCACATGGGAACACCTGAGCATGCCTCTGGGAGAGCACAGCACTCTTACACTCCCTGTCTATCCAAAAATGTGATATTTTTAGCCAGTGATACAGTAATATGTTATTCAACTCTTCCTTTTCTGTTTTATTACTTACATTGTTTTGTTTCCTGCAGCACTTAAAACCCCATCATATATACGTATACGTGTGTATATCTGTATATGTGTGTGTATATATATATTTATGGATGGATGTGTGCATATATATCCTGTTACTTACCCTGAAAGACACATTCCACATTGTATAAATCAGGTTCAGTAATTTTTTCTTATCAGGCAAGGCAAAGGACTTAAAGTTATAAATTTGTACCAACCCCATTCTGCAATGTCTTTCAGATACAAGCTCAAGTTGCAAACACTTTCTACTCTTCTTTTTCTTTTATATTATGAAAAGATTCCTAAAATTCTTTCAGATACATCTCAAAACTAGAGAAGAACATGGGAATGCCTAAAGATAACAAACTGCTGATATGATGGTTGGTTATTTAAGTGAACAAGTAGCATTAGCACATTTAACTTGAAAATGGAAAAATAGTTGTGCATAAAATCTTAGCTAATGTAGAAAAATTGTTCATAAAAATATCTTTTTTGCTAGATATCTAATATGGAAAAAATTAATTTGGAAGGTTTTATGCTTTCAGTTTCTAATCCACAATTATTTTGACTTAAAACCAGTTATTGATGCAAATTTGAACGATTCAGACGTCTTTTTACAGATTTATTGCTTCAATAAGAAAGCTTATCTGTGGGTAATTTCAAAAGCACTAGAAGTAATTAGCTACCCATATTTTATTAATTTTCAATAGTTATTAGGTGCCTTCCACATGATTCTTTTAAAAAAACCCTACATGGTCATAGTGTCAATTCTGAAACTCCCTTTGGACAAGAGCAAAAAAAGGCAAGATGTATCTTCTCACTGTATTTCCCTTTAAACTGATGGTCATTATAATATACCTTTTCCCCAACACAAACTGATTTTAAATGGAATATAACTAAGAAATACAGGGGTTTTTTTAATGTGTTACTTGAATGAATCCAGAATGAGCCAGGAAATCGTGTTACAGCAAGCAGTCTTGTAGTGCAGTTTCTGTGGGCCATGGTATGTAACGTCTCTGTAACGTGATTCAGGAATGAGCTGTGTTCTGCCTCCCTAGCACGGCTGTGGTTTCTGGGGCTGTGAACAGCCCTCGTAGGGGACACAGCCTCCACAGTGCTGCCTTCCCAGAAGGGGCATGGTGAGGACAGGACCACAGCATGCCTACACAGACAATCATCGGCAGGCAGAGTCTGCCTGTTACAGATCAGTCTTGCACCCGCTTCACTGGCTCTGGAGTTATGTCACCCATCTCTGGCGTGCAGCAATGCAACAACCTTACAGGGAGCTGTCAATGCAAATGTTGCTTTTCACTGGAACATCTCTACAAGCCCTTCTGACCTTTACATTTCAAAGACTTGATTTTCAGGCCTGCTGAACAGCAGAAGGTGAAATTAAAAGTGCATGTCTATAAGGTATTTGGGTACCGCTAGTGAGTGTAGAAGCTTACGGCTAAGGACGGAAGGAGGATCATAAAGAGGAATTTGTATAATCAGACACTACATTCAAAGTTCAACAAGATTTAAAACACTACTTCCCAGTAAAATGAACAACACTAACATCAGGTCAGCAAAAACAAGTACCTTGGAGTACATGAATGCCACTCAAAATGTAAGAATAACAAGGGCTTTTATTGCAAAAAAACCCCATCATTATCTGCAGACAGCCATATTCCTTGAGAGGCTAGAACAGAGCAGGTTCAGGAGTGAGTGTGTGTTGAATTAACTACTGCACTCCTCTTAAATGTCCAGGTCTGTTCTGCAACCGAACGTGGGACGGCTGGTTGTGCTGGGACGACACACCTGCTGGAAGAATCACTGCTCAGAATTGTCCCGATTATTTTCCAGACTTTGATCCAACTGGTACGGTATTTCTTTTTAGCATCTTACTCTAAGGAAGTCTTCAGAACATACATGCCACTGAGTGGAAACATTTTTCCAGTGGCATTTTTGCAGCATTGTGAAATCTGAGAGAGTTTGGCTGAAATTAAAATAGATCAAGCTTTTGGGTTGCCTAATTTATATATTTTAATTTACAAAATATTTTATATGGATTTATATTTATGTAAATATTACCTACGGATTTATGGAACCTAGTTTATGAAAATGCTAACTACTTAGTTTTAATATCAAAACATTTTTAGCACCTCATCCTAAGTTTTTATAATGAAGAAAAAATACTTATGTGCACGAGATATGTATCAGCATGTTCCTTGTTCAGTCTTTATTGGAAAATATTTTATGGAAGAACATGAGCAGAAATAATGTTCTTTGAGTCTCCAGGTTTCAGTTGTTCGTTGAATTCTTCATGCAAATACCAGCAGCCATGCAGACTAAGAGAAGTAATTCAAGAGTGTTTAAAAGGACAAATGAAAAAAAAAAAATCGAGGACAGAAATATTGCTAAATAGATAAGAGGAAGTGTTAGACACGAGTATAGCTCCACACAGAGTATTCTTTGAATAAAGACAGATTTGTGTGTGCCACACTCGGGACATGTTGCTTGTAGGCACTGCCTGATACCACAGTGTGCTCAATCTGGCATAGGCACAATGTATCAGTTGCAGTTAAAAACCATGAAACTAAACATCAGGGGGGTGAAGAGTATATAAATCTAAAAATTTTCAATGAGGTTAAACCAAAATGTATGTGCTCAACTGGATAGTAAGGAAGCAGACTATTGCATAGCTGTGAATTAATTAACCAGTACCATTCACATAGCTGTGAATTAATTACCTAGTAACGTTAGCTAAAACTGTTGATTTTGTTGAACTTATTGCCTATTTAGAAATAGAGGAGTTTCCATGTTGGAACAGACCCAGTATGCATTTTTCTGAATCCCATTTGCAATAGCAGTCAGATTGATTGATTTGTTGATTAATCATCTGAACACAACCGTAGGAGGAAAAGCCTCATTCAGTAATTAATTTCCTATTGTTCTCTCTGCTGTCCTGTTTAGCAACAATACCTGTGGTCTTCTGGACTCAGTATTTTCCCCTAGCACATCTCTTTTCTCCTTGTCAGCACCTCTGTCAGCCTCTTTGCCTGCATTCTGGTCAGTCAGCACTGTTTCCCTGGCTCGGCAGCAGCTCAGCATCTCCTGGTTGAGCCAGAGCCGCTTTCCTAGAGTAGCTGTTGAGTAACTCAGCACATATTACTGCTGCAGCATGAAACCAGTGGATAGCCAGCCATTGCTTTACAGGTGGCTGATTGTCACACAGGGACTTAATAAAGTAGGAGGGAGACAAGAAATCGTGGGAGTGACTAGAAGTCTTGAAACTGCTAATGGAAGTGGCTGTCAATTACAGGTCACCAAAAGTACAGGTTCAGCTGTCCTGAGAAGTCTGTCAGGTTTTGTGTCACAAGTCATTATTTCCTTTGGTAACTTATGCCTGTTAAACAAAATAAAGCTATATTTTCTGCTGAGAAACAGAAAATTCATCCTAAAGAACAGTGATTTTACAGGATGAAAACTGCAGTGCCTGTCAGATTTCCTTCCCATTAAGTCTCCGTGACATCAAACAACCTCAGCATGCATTTTAGACAGACAAGTAACTCCATGGACATCTGAAGCAAGGATTTCATGCTGTGCTGCTTTAGGCTGCACTGAGATCTGCAGAACCACCATGTGTCAGCTCACTGATGATTAAGTTACTTTTGTTTGAGGCCATGTGTAGCTTTGAGTCCTGGAATAAAATGATGTCATTCAGCTTTCTTTTTGTGATTTGATACTTAGGTCATTTGTAACTGGAAAAGTGAAACATAATTGGACAGCATAAGGTCAGATCCTCCTCCCATCTTCACCTATGGGTGCTGTATACCAGCTCTCTATATCTGAACCCCGCAACAACATCCAGCATCGATGCCAAGAAGAGATTGCTAAAGTATGTTAAAAAGTAAATAAGGTGAAATCATATTCTGGAGAAAAGGACCCAGAAGCAAAATGTTGCTTAGTGCTCAGTTCATTTTGTGTCTGACATCTTCACAACTATAAGATGTAGTCCCACTTATTTCACTGAATGTACATCAGTTTTTACTAGATAGGAATCTGATCTAAAGGAAGGAAGGACCACTGTGATAATCTGGTCTGTTCAGTTAGCTAGGGCTTGCCACACTTCTTTCCCCACCTGAGGAAGCTCTATCCTGTGAAAGTAAATTAGTATCTTAAAGCTAATAGACAAACAGAAACCACTCTTTATGTGCTGTGACAATTTTGTCCTTTTCAATAAACAACTGTTGCCTCTTTCTCACAATGACCATCACACACAATGTGATAATGCATAAAACCAAAACAGTTTGTCTGGAAAACATGCCGAGACCTACTGCTTTAACTCCAGTGACAGCAGGAGATTCATTGTCTTATCCACTCCTGACTGTGAAGCTTGAGCAGGGCTGAGTTTTATACCCCTATTGAGTTATGCCCCTATTGAGGCAACATGCACAGTTTCTCTTGATTTGTATCTTATATTCATATTTTATCCATGTTAATCTTTGGTGTAATCCCTTTGAAATTATTCCAGGTCGCACTGAAATTGCTAGGAATTGGATTTGTTAGGAATGTAGTATGCAATTCATGTTGGTAATATTCTTGCTAATAAAAAAAAAAATATATATATTGTGGAGGTAATGGCCTTCTAGGAAGGCAGGTTTACTGGGGCAGCAGGAGGAGCAGAGCATTGACCTGTGCCGTAAACAGGCTATTGGGTTTGTGACAGGAGAATGTTATACTACCCACCTCACTCTCCTTGCACAGTGTGTTTGATCAGGATTAATTTCGTGCTGTCACATAGAGCAATGGAGCTGAATATGCAAGTTGCATGGTGGCAGCCCTACCTTTTCATTTCACCTTCTCTCCCTTTCCTCTGTGGCAAAGAGCAATGGTTAAGAGCAGTAGCCACCCCACCAGGGAGCAAGCTCTGACAACTTTGTGACCCAAGGCTGTATTTAGCAAAACTCTACTCAGTTCTCCACTTTGTTGGGCTTCTGTCATTTGTTCCATTTTGTAAGCCAGTTACTCATAATTCTTTATGTGCAAAGTTTCTAGAAGTGCGATTTGGAAACAGATCCATATGTATCCATAAGAAATTATCTCAGATGATTATTAATGTGTTGTTACCTCTCACAACTGAGAAACATGGAAGTATAGTCTTGCCTTCCTGCTCTGACAGTGACTAGAGGAATTGAAGTCCACTTGCTCTGGAGTGTGGGTCACAGCAGCTGAGGTGGAAGAGGCACTGCAGTATTTGTGTCCTCTGCAGCTCTCTTCTTGTGCCATACTGCTGTTTCTGAATTGCTTTGTCTTTCTTACAAAATATCTTTAGAGAAATAACGATAAAAGCACCATGTAGAAGGGGGAACAGATTGAGTAGCTCTTGCAGACCGTTTTGGATTTACCAGCTTTGATGCCTTTCATCACCAGGGTCTGGATTTGAAGAATACAGGCTTACCCTTCTCACAGCTGGAAAAATGCAGAAAGCTGGGTGAGTTGCCAAGCTGACAAGAGCAGTCTTTGTAGATAAGAATCGTGGTCTTCCACAAACCAGAGCGAGAGAGATCTTTTGGGTCACAGCAGTAGCTCCAGCTCCTTCCACCCCTTCCCTGGCTCCTGGCAGGCAGGGAGGCCATTTCCTCAGACATCTCCTAACTCAAGCACCTTCCCAACCATGGTCTCCCCTCCTGAGTCCTTCATGTGCTCTTTCCAACCCAGCACTGTGCATTGGATGTGTGACTTACCTGCACTCTCTGTGGGCTGCAGGCAAGGAGTAGTATCTTTGGTGAGCTCAGGGACCTGCTGGAGCAGCGCAGGGAGGGCTGGGCCTGGGAGATCCCTTCTTTTGAAAATTTCCTGACTCTGGCTAAAAAAAAAAACAGCTCTAGATTTCTCTTGGTCCTAGTTTCCTGTCTTGAAGTGATATCATGTCAACAGTGATAAATAAAACAGATATGAACTCTCTCCAACTGCTTCTTTTTCCCCTACCCTTCTGTGTATTTCTGTCCTGTTTCTTAGAAAGCTTGACATCTGTATTTTAAAAATCAATTCTTATCCTCACAGATACAGATTCCAGTTCTGCTGACCAAGGCATTCTTGTGATAGTGAGAATACTTCACTTATTAGGACACTGAAATAGAATTTTTCTAGAGGCTCCATTGCATTATATCAAATGATTTTTTCAACTTTGAAAATTTTCTTCAAGAATATTTTACTGAGAATATAAGTAAATCACATGTCCTACATCAGGTATTCCCTCATCTGCAAAACTAAGCACTACACAGGTCTGTCCAGATGGCAAAGAATCCAATGTCTGGTATGTTCTGAGCATGCACTGCAATAGAGGAAAACTTCTTTCTACTTCCAGCTTATAACTCAACAGCAAATAAAAAAAATGGTGTTGTCTCTTTTAGCATGTGCTAGCTATAGAGTTGGTCTAATTGTAAAAAAACTGGTTGATAGAGCTATCATGTTTGTTCTAGTGTTATTGGGTTAAAATACTTGTTACACATAAATGACTGAGTTGTTTTTATGAAAATATGGTAAGAGCACTATTGGTAGCATAAACAATATCACATGCAAATCTATTGCTGCTGGTTAATCTTTCCATACACTTCACTTCTCCTGTGAAACTGCCCTTGTGGATGAGATTTCTCTCATCCATTTTTCCCAGACAGCTCTTGAAGTGTCTGTCTTTCTAAGCTGCCTACAGCTGCCTGTGAATTGCATCACTTTAAGGTTGCTAAAGTCAGGTGAGACAAATCCCATGCAATGTCACTGTTCCTTCAGTTTGAATAATGTGGTGCCCACCTGGTGCCCTATCCAAGCTGATAGGGTATAGACAGAACCTAAAAAAATCAGTGTTTACACAGTATTTCAATAAACTTAAAGCACACACTTCCATTTTGCCTTGCTAATACTGTCTTACCCATCCTTACATATTTGTGTGTTTCTTCAGAGTTTAGTAGATTCTTCTGGTTAGCATAAAAACCAACACGTGGCCAGGTTCTTAATCCCACACCTGCTACTGAGTCACTGTAGAATAACTTGAAGTAGAACCATGGTTGGGTTACAGAATCACAGCTTTATTTCTGTATGAAATCATAGATTTAGAAGAGATGTTTGACCTATTTGAGTCACTGGGATGGACAGTAGGGGGGCATATCCACCAGTGCCATATTCTGACAACGTCACAGCAAGAACTCTGTGGGTTATGGCAGCTTCCAAACTGGGATCAGTTGTGTTTGTCTGGCTTCAAGGAAAAATATGAGGCAACAGGTTTGTCTCTGACTTACAGGGGCCACATTAAACTTCGGCAGAGTGCCTACCTAGGCACTAAAGTACAGAGATGATAGATGATATTACCCTTATTCTCTATAGCATATTAACAAAAGCCTTTGCAGAGTGCATGGGATAGTAGGTACAATGTTTGTACACTGTGTTCTGTGGTAGCATAACCATTAATCTTTTATCTATGACTGAAAACTTTTTCCAGCTTTAGATAATATCTGGCAACAAGTACAACAGGAACATTGCTACACAGGCAGTCTGAGATTATCTCCAAGCTTCAGCGATGGAAGGCTGAGATAACATGTACTGTTCCTCTTGGTATTGTTGATGCACGTATTGATTTTCAACAAGTCCCCCAAAACAATTATATGAAACTCAGTAATTTCAGAAGTATGCCATGTTCTGGAGGATTGTCTTTTTTGTTGTTGTTTTGTTTCACAGTGGTACTATATAAAGTGTATTTTTTAGTCAGGGGAAGATAGCTCAGTCTATACAATACTTACCTTGCCAGTATGATCTATTGTTTTCCTTAGAGTACATGGAGGAAATATGAATCTTCCAAATTAATAGAATCATTAATCATCAGAGCTGATTAAGAAAAATAAATGCATATGTGGAACACAAAAAATGAAGATGTGCATGTTCAAATGGTAATTTGCTCTGTAAAAGTGTATTGACTGGAAATGCTGTTAATCTATGTATAAAGCAAATAAAATTAAAAATCTAGGATAGGTAAAGGGAAGTCAAGCTAGACTTTTTAGACTATCTAAAAAGTCAGACTTGAAACACTGTGTTTTTCATAAATAAACTACATAAGGAAACATCAAATAGTTTAAGTTTCTGATCTTATCCTGCCTTTCTTACTCGGGCAAACTTTCCAGTGACTCCCTTGTGTCTAATGCTTGAGAGAAGGCCAAAGGAACTAGTCCAAAACTTGACAGGTGATTAGGAGTGACTGTGCCACAGCATCCAGGGTTTCCCAGGCAGAAATGTGAGCGTGGCACGGCCCACCTCTGCGGCCCTGGGCACCCCTCAGAGCTGTGTGGTGCTGAAGCCCCGACTGTCCCCCTGCCGCAGTGAAAGGATGTGTGCGAAGCAGCACAAGCCTGGAGAGCAATGTGTATGGCAGGGCTTTGGGGAAGGATGCCAGAGCCACCTGCGGCACAGGAACCAGCGCCAGAGACACGCGTGGAGAGGCCAGACACACATCAGATTATTTAAACAGAGAGCTCTGCAGCCATTTTAAATTAAATTGGACACTTGGGAGCTGCGCCAAAATGTTTGCGAGACTGCTTCTCCCAGTGCCTGCATGCTTTCTGGCCTCAGAGGAAAATGAGCAGTGTGCCTGCTCACCCTTAGCAGGATTTAGCTGCCACAGAGGCTGGGCAGGACTCTTCCACCCCTCTGCATAATCATGGGGCTGGTGTTGGGGCTGTCACCATCTTCAGCACCCAGTCTCTGCTTTATACACTGCTTTCTGCCTTTTCTCTACACAGTAATTTTAACTAATTATTTCCCTTGATACCTGAAACCCTGCTGCGAGATTCAGCCCGCTAGCGTCTGTGTATGGATACCAGCACGTCCTAGCGAGTGTCAGATTTGAAAATAAAAAGTTAGATTTGCATGCAAGCCAGTGGGCATATCCATTTTCCAACAATAATATTGCAGGTTGGGACGAGAACTAATGATATTCAGACACCACTGTGTTTTCCTGCCTGTGCACATTTCCATCAGGTTCATCATCATGGCCTAACATTACTTTCTCTTCCATAAACAGCTTTCAACGGCCTCTTTAAGTGAATTATTATCACATAAATAATGGCATCTGAATGAGGGCTGGGTATATATACTTGATTGCATTCATTCAAGACAAAAGGAGACAGATAAATGACAAGTATACCATCAGATAAATCTCTGAGATAAAGAAAACAAAACCGATAAATGTATATTAATTGCACAGGTTGAAAATCCTTTTGGTTTTGTTACACAGGCATTTTATTTCCAAACAGAGAAATTCTTTTTTATGAATTTATAAATGTGTAATATGCATATGCTATTATTATAATAACTATTATTGCAATTTATCATCAGAGAGGGCTTCAAAATACTGTGATGAAACTGGAAACTGGTTCCGCCACCCTGAGAGTAACCGAACTTGGTCCAACTATACCCTGTGCAACTCTTTCACCTCTGAAAAACTGAAGGTATGCTACAGTTAAATAGGCAGTGCTTGATTGGGAATGGTTTGGAGCTGAGCTAAAAGTAACACATATGACAGAAGTTAGAATAGTCCTCATCTTTTAGCTTTATTTGTTGCAGAGGAATTTAATAGCATTGTCCTTGTGATTTTAGCTTACTACAATTATTTGATGAGTGTTTAAACCTAAATATAGGTTTGCTGTGAGATGGATAGTTTATCAGCAGTTTGTGCAACAAGCTTTGCACTATTTTTCAAATGCATTTTTTAATTCCTGTGATTTTCCCTGATTGCCCAGCAGTTACAAAATGATCCTTTAGAATTTCTATTTTGCTTTCTGTAACAAGCATCTTCCAAGCTGTTGATGTCCTCTGCAGGGCTAGAACCATTAGCGTAAGTTAAAATTATTTTTCTTAAGCAAAGAATATCACCCTGTGAATATCACTCCCTTTGAAAATAAATATTTATGAAGGTACCATTAATCCAGAAAATCCTACAAGCCTGAACACATTTAACTTTAACAGTTTGACTGAAGTCATTAGGACTATTTACAATAATAAATTAAGCATTTGCATCAATATTTCTAAAATCAGGTTGCTAAACTGAAAGAGGAGAACTAAATATAAAAGCACCAAATGAAACAAGGAGAGAGAAATCTGAGAGAAACTTAAAAAAATTTTTTTAGGTAAACTCATGAAAATAAACATATTTCTCAAATGTGAGTGGAGCTCCAGGAAAATCTGATTACAGATTTGAGACAGAATAATTTGTGACTGCTTGGAATTGTGGAAGGAAAAGAGTCAGAAAGTGATTTGATTTGGGATTTGTGTTGGAGGATCTTCTTTTATGCAGACAAAAAGCAGTATGTGGTTATGTTTAGTAATGATCTAGCCCAAAGGGCCTTGCAAAAGTCCATTGGACTAGGCAAGATGTGAATTTTAAAAGTTTTCGCAGTATAAGGAACCATCATGGTAAAATAGTGCTCACCTATGTCACAAAAAAAGAATAATAGTAACAATCTGAGCTCACAGAGGCATTAAATGGAAGCACTGTAAAAATACAATTTTTCCAGATGTTGGCCCATGTAGGGAAGCAAAAAATGTAGTTCTGTTACCTATTATCCATGCCTTCCAGAAGAACAATTTTGAACATCATTCAAGCAAAGTGCACACAAAGAACACAAAGGAAAATTATATGTGCATCAAGATTCTTCTGAAACAAAAAGTAATGGAAAATACAGAAAGAATCTATCTTTACAGAAATGCCAAGTTAGATTATGACCTTTAATCCAAGTTTTCAAAAACAGGAGTGTGCTTCATTTGTAGACTGTTTCCATGTACCTATGGATAATATAATTAGCTGAGTAGGAGGTATTCCTATTAGAGAATTCTCTTTCCTCAAGTCAAAAATTCTAGGGGGACAAAAAATGAACATTTAAGTGTTTCTTTTAGAAGTTTTCTAAGCCCAGGATCTGCATAGGCTAAAAAACTGGTGAGTCAGGTGTTACAAATCTTGTATGTCAGAAGGGACATGAGAGATTGCCATTTCAAGGAGTGCAGAAATTAATAAAATTGTTCATAATTTCTTTGACATTAACTGGAAATACCAATATGCTATACTTTTGAGACAGATCTCTTAAAAAAAATATTGCATCCAATTCTTAAAAATGTAAGAATAGACCATATGCCTTGTTAGCTAACAGTTCGGTCCTTTTTGATCTTTGTTGTTATATTTGGAAAGCTTTTTTAAGCAGTTACTGTAGTAAGTTTACATGGAATAATCAAAAATGCTATTGCCGAATCCTAAATATGCAGTTAAACTGATGTAGCAGTTGTATGCTGAAAAGTAGATAGTTTTAATAACCAGGAGTCCTTTGAGGTGCACATAGACTTGCATGTAGCTATCTGGAAGCCTTTCCTATTTCTACCTGCTTCAGGGTAAGGGTTGTGTACATGATAGGCAAAAAAAACAACATGCTTTTGAAAAATTCATCTCTAAATTAAATTCAGGCTTAAAAATTTTATCAGTCTAATGCCATGAAAAAACGGCAACCTCTTAGTATGGGTTGGAAGAAATTACACATGCACACACATAAAAGCCTCTCCACTGCACTGTGTTCAGAAACTTGTCTCATCTTCTCTGTACTCTGTTCTTCCCTCTCTGGGGTTGCTGGTGCTTTCAGAACAAGCTGTCAAGCATTTACGCTCACTAGAAGTGTTGTGGTTAGACTTTGTGAAGGAAAACTAGGAGACCTAGGGTACTTGCAGTTAATATGCATATATTTCCATAACTTGGTGAATAATACTTGCCCTCAAATCATGTCTATTCTACGTGGTCAAGATGGTGTAAATGTGACTTTGGTTTAAATCTGAATCAGGCCACTACCATTTAGGTTAATGAAAGCAGGAGCTGAGTCCAAAGTTGTGAAATGTCCGCAGAGCACACTACGTAAGATGTGCACCTGTGCTAAGAGGAATGGCTGTTTTCTGAATTTTATTCATACTGGATTTCAAATGAAAATTTAAAATTACTTGGAAAAAAACAAAAAAATATGAGTGGCAAAACTTAGGGCTACAGAAAGCAATTCATCTAATTGTTGAAAAAAAGGAAAATTGCTCATGCATAACAAAAGAAAAATTAATTAAATGGAGCTGAAAAGAAAATAAACCCAGCAGAGAATCTAAGGCCTACTATCTAGTCTTTTTTTCAGGACAGGCTGATACTATATTAGTGCTTTCCAAAAATAAGATAATGGTGAAGCCTAGCATGCCATTTAGCCTCCTGCAGTCTTCTGACAGCTGGGTGATGCTTAAGAGCTTGGCCGAGGCCAAAGTATGGCATTTAAATATCACAGCAGTCTGCAGCCCAGATGCTGTCCTGCAATTTTGTTTCACTGTTGGCATACAAAATATGGGTAGGCCTATCTTAGATTTCACTGATAGTAGTTAAAGTGAAAGCCCGATTATCTGTTCGTGCATACTGGCTTCACAGCACTGTAAGACCATGTAGTTGCCCATTAGCAAGGTTCACACCAGTGTGAACCAGAATTTGTCTCGGGGTGTGCAGTTCTAGTATGGTAGCAGTTGATAATTTTCAGCTCATCTACTGCTTTCATGACTCTGTAGGCCTTAATGATAAGAACCCTCTGACTTCTTCTCTCCAAAGGGGAGAATCCCAGCATTTGTACCCACTTGTCATAACACAGATACTTTACCTCAGTTATTTTAGTTGCCCTCTCTGCACCTTTCCTAGCTCTGCCATGTCCATACGTTGTAGAGACAAGAAACATACATTCATTTAAGACATGCGGTGTAAATTTTAAACAGAGGCACAAACATGTTCTATCCTCGGTGCCTTTCCTGATGATATCCAACATTTTGTTGCCTTTTTGACTGTCATTGCACAATAAGGCCAGAGGAAACTTAGAGTTTCCTTTGCATCAGGTTACTTATTAATATGTTGAACAAAAAGCCAGCCCTGATACCAGTCCCAAGGGCACCTAACCACTGACTCATCTCCAAAAGTGACCATTAAGCTTTTGCTCCCTGATATTTAAGCTGTTTTCAAACCACAAAAGTTTTCTAGCAATCTTGCGGCAACCTATTTTCTTTAATATTTTTTTTTTTTGAGTGGAAAATTGTCATGGACTTTTTGAAAATCCAAATGTGTTGTCTGCTGTGCTCTCCTAGAGCTTGGAAAAGTTAGTGGTGCAGAGTGTGAGCAGGGATCTCACCAGTTACTTCAGTGCAGCAGAAACAGATCAACTCATGTAAGAAACACTTATCTCATCTCTAGACCATGAGTCATGCTATTTAATGCATTGATGATATTAAAAGTATATTGAAAAAGAAACTTTGAAAGAAAATAAATACAAAATGGGAGGTTGATTTTGTAGATTCTTCCTCAGTGAGGAAAAAACCTCTGTGCCTGAAAATTATTCACACTTGCCTTTTCTTTTTGTTAAATTGCAGATGGCGTTCATACTTTATTATATGGCGATCGTTGGCCATGCTTTGTCTATAACATCCCTGTTGATTTCCTTGGCAATTTTCTTCTATTTCAAGTAAGTGTTTCTTACAGACACTCGCTTCTTTCCCTGAGGGATCCCAAGTGGTAACCAAAGAAAAGCTTGGAAGGGGACATGGCAGTGAGAAACAGATCTTCTGAGTGCTTTTTTGTATAATCCTGGTAAAAAAAGTCTCTGCGCAGGGCCCTCTCACCAATGGGACATCTCCCAGTGGTGTATAGCCAAGATCATGCTGTTAGATTTATCAAGACTGGTATAAAAGTGCAGCCCATAGGGAAATGGTGTAACTGGGGATGCAGTAAGGCCCTTCATTTTCCACTTGCCTATTGTTCCTTGAAGGGCATGTCCAGCCCCTGGGCCGGTGCAGTGACTGCACAGGGCGGTGGCTTGGAGCCCCCAGTTCCTGAAGAACAGGAATACCTTCATCCGATGCTGAAGGACTGAGCTATTGACTTGAATAAGTGCTTATAGGACTCAGCACTAAGAGCGAGTCTGACACTAGTGTGTAGCCTGTCATCATCATTACAAGGAAAAACAGTGATGTGCAGTATCAAAACTTTAAGGGAGACTAAATTGATATTCACTGAAAGCACTGCAGCTACTGTACGACAACTTAACTAGAGAATTTAAATCTTGTCCTTTACCGAACCTGTCTGCACACTATTTATTATAATGTGTCTGCAGTGAAGGAGCAGGGGGAGCTCAAATTTGCCGTCAGTCATGTAGTCACAGTTTCAGTCACAATCAGTAGTGAAGGGCTGTCTGGGAACAGCCTTCATTTTTCAGCTCAGGAAAATGGTAAGCACTAGAAGACATCAAAGACACTGGGGAAAATATTAAAGAATAAGCAGTGGACAAGATCCTGAGCTATTGTACATCCAGAGCTATGATGACTTGCATAAGCTATATTATTCTAGCTCTTAAGCAATCTTTTTAAGGTATTTCACTTTTGTAACATTACTATAAGCTCCAGACTTCCCAGATTGATAGCACACTCAGAAATCAAGGTTGTAATGATCATTCACAGATAATTTGATGAAAAAGAATGATACATTCAGCATAATGACCCAAATGGGATGGTGTCTTACTGATTGCAGCAAAGGTGCCTCCGATAGCCAGATCATCAGTTCATGGCCAGAGGCAGGGAAATGCTCACCATCAATAAGGTATATCTGGAGATAACTGCAAGGTAATCTAAAGGGCCAGGTAAAGTTTTCCAACTTTACCCAGATGAAGGTTTCCAAGGATACAAAGGAATATTCCCCATAGGAAAATTAAAGCCAAAAATAAGACCTCAGATCTCTCAATGCAAATTTAACAAATACAGCAAATGCATTTTTTTCAAATCTTAGTGACTAAAATAGTAAATGTGAATTATGAGCAGGTTCTAAATTAATACCTTCTCACTCATGCCAAATCATGTATGTATATGTGTCTTTTTTCAAAAAGACCAGGATTCATTCTCCGTAGAACTTTTATTTTCCAAAGAATGTTTTCACACTGAGATTTCCAAGTCTGAAAAGGGAAAAATTGGTCATTTTTTCTATTCCTTTATCGCGCAGCCTTAACTTAAAGGGTATTTCTGTAAACATTCAACTATTCCTTTTTGTCACCTGTGAGGCCAAGGAATTGTATTGAAGTACACCCAGTGCATTTTCTGTCTTGACCATTTAGTTTTAAACATTTAGTATGACTCTTTTAATGCAGAGTATTTGTGTGTAAACTAACTGGCATTTGTTAAGTGTCTTGGAATTGGTAGATTTAATGTTTTGCAGCATAGGTGAAAAACTTCAATGTAACAAACTTTACATGCAAGATTGTGAGATACCATCAACTTAATTATCTGAGTTTCTGAGATGTGTTTTTTTTGCCGCAAATACACATGAATATTTGCAGAATCCATCAGCACATAGCAAACACAAAATTCCAGTTTACACACGCATAGTGATTGCATAAATCTGGGGATAAAAAGAACCCCTTGATGAAGCCCCACCTCTAGTGCACAAGGGATGGTTGCCTTGTTTTAAAAACCTGCAGTGAAAGGTGCTCCACAAAACCCCAGGTACCTCGTGCCAATGCTTAAATCAGTTCTAGCCTCAGAGTCCCTGTATTATTTATCTTATATTAGGCACCTTAGCCTATTTCTGGTCCCAATCTTGATCTATATGTACTAGTATCTATGGATATGTTCAGGTAGTATGTCTCCTAATAGTAATTTTCTTAGTAACATTATGCAAAGCTTCTTCCTGGTTACTTTATCTGCTGCTGGTCCCCGGAGAGGTACACCACTGATGAGGGTGTCCATATAGACTGGAAGAGGATATGGTTAGTAAATTGAGAGGCCAGAAGAAGCTGGCATAAGTCTTAGGGCTATACAATTAGTTATCTGTGCCTCAACTGTCAGACAGGAAGGGTGGTCAAAGAACAAGCCCCCAATATTAGCACCACCAAGAGTCTAGAAAATATAGGAAAATTAAATGGTTGGACTTTGTATAGACTGTAAGAATCTGTGAGATTACAAGCTCAAAACATGTGGATCCAAAATACAGGTTGTGAATTCTGCTAATTTCCAGAGAGGCAGTTTGATGAGTGACTGTGATAATGTGCAGTGATCACATACAGAGATAGCTAGAAACTCTGCCCAATGAACTGGTGAATTCCATTCCCATCTAAGTAGAGATAAAGAGCACAAAACCATGGCCACAATAATGCTTTGAGAGAACTACAAAGAGGTCAATTTAATCTGATCTGGAATCCTATACTCTGGCTTCAGAATTCTTTGGGACAGTAAAGACAGGATATGGTTAAATTTGCTACCCAAAATGGAGCAGGAAGGCAATGCCTTGCAGCAAGAGAGGCAGGGTCAGCCTGTCTGAGTCACTCCTAGCTCTGAGTCACAGACAACACACGATCCTGACCGGTCCCAGGCCGTGCTGAAAGATTCATCTTTGCAGCAGCCTTCCAGACAGTAACACACCTCCTCCTGTCTTCCCTCCTCCACCTCTCCTTCCCCTTCCATGACTAATCCATGACATAAAGGTTACAGGAAGTAGCAGAGAAAGGAATTAAACCAAAGTGCTGAAAAATGGGAGGACAAAGAGGAAATCAAACTACAATCATAAGAAAGTGCGAATAAAGCTGTATGAGAGCAGGGTTCATGTTACCTTCAGTTGTTTTCTATTATCTGGTTATGACAGCAGTAGATTATTTGACCTTCAGTAGAAGGCAAGCTGTCAATCAGATAGTCAATCAAATAGCAAGAGATGGTTTGGGGACTGTATAGCAGCCTTTGACTGTAGAGGCAACAGCAAACAGCTTACAGAGGTTGCTGCTTCCCCCATATAAGTCTTTTCTGGCAGATATTTATTTTCCTTTCAGTTTTGGGTATCAAGATTCATAACGATCTGGCATCACAGATGTTGCAGTTCTTTCGGAAGGGAATACTGCATCAGTAGTGACGAGCATCACTAAGCAATACCAGCTCATAACAGGAGACAGATTATTCATAAAGTAGCGTATCTAACAGTTACATGCATCATCACATTATTGCAATATTTTTATAATTGTAAACTGAGACAACATTATCTTAAATGATAGAACACAAATGAAAAAAGGGACTCCTAGCTCCAAATCACTTCCAACTGAATTATTAAAACAAAGACATTTGTATAAAAACAGATGGGGAGTACAATAAGTCTGTATTTGCCAGAGCAATAGATGGTGTTTTGTGAATGCACCTGCAGTCTCATTATTGCCAAGGCTTTTAAAGGGATTTGAAGAAGAATAATGGGTGGAAGAATAATTTGTGGAAATTTGTTGAGAGTTTTCCCCAGGGGTAAGGAGTAGCATGGTAGAAAGCCTGAAAATAATTTGAAAACTAAACAAGTGGGTAGGAGATGGAAAAATAACTGGCTGGGGGTGAAAATCAGTATTCTCAGTATTCATGAATGAGAAGAAATGACAGATTCACAGCACAGATCTATGAAGAAAATAATACTAAAATGTCCTTGGAAGTCAAAATACCCTAGATGCAGTAGAGAAGTAGAGATAGGAACTCAAAAGTATGGTGTCTTTGTAAGTAGGTAGGAGAACCTACCTCTGTCAAAGGAAATGTAGCAGACAGAATAAATGCGAAACACAGGGGAACCACAAGAAACATAGAAGACTCTGAAACTCTGAGACACAATTGATAGAAGCATAGCGACACAAAAAAAAATCACAAGTTTTAGACACGGATAACTGGCTTAGTGATGCCTTCTTGCATACTGATTAATGAAGCAAAGTAGGGAGTGTACAAAAAGATTGGTGGAGGCTACAAGAAGCCTTCAAAAACACCATGAAGGAATGATTAGGAAATCAGGAAGAGGGCCAGATAAAGAACTAAGAGAGGTCAGAAAAGGAAAAGATTACAGATGATTGTGAAAACTAGAAGAGAGGATTAATCAAGTAAGGGCTTTTGTTTTGCTAAAATGTTCTCCTCTCAATGTGGACTAAGTCAGGCAGGTACTGATGCCATTTTTATGGCAAACACTGAAGGTCAAATTAAAAAGTGAGGGTATGGAAATATACACTTAATGATCCAGATGGTCTTTAAATGAAATCTGGAGTCAAGGCAGAAAGGTGGACAATACTGAGAGGAAAGGAGGAGAGCAATGCAAGAGTAAAACTAAGAAAGGAAGGCAGGCAGGGAAAGGAGCTTGGGCAGCAGACAAAGGCAACATGCAGTGAAGGACACTCCTTAATTTAATAGAGGAGTAAGACTGGCAAAAGTCAAGAGAAGCAGTGAGGAAGAACAGGAATGGGAGTGGAAGCACATGTACCTGGCAGAGATTATCACAAAAGACTGTCTCTCTGTACCAGTAGCCATGTAGAGAGGCAGCTGGAGAGAAAATGGTCTTCATTTGTGTGGCCAGGAGCTGAAGAGACTGCTCTAAGTAATAGGGAAATTCTTATTTCTTGGGAACAGGATTGGCATCACACCGATCCTGTTCCGAGGACTGCAAGAGAAAGCAGAGTGTGGTGGACACACGATAGTGTCCCGAGAAAAGTGGGGTCAGTAGCATAGGTGAAGTATAGTGATGGAGCAAGGGGAGAAAGGACACAGGAGTAGATAAATACCACCAGAGCTCAGGAGCAGAAAAGGGACAGGGACATTAGACTAGATTTTTGATGGGTGCAAATACAGGTGGAATACACAAGCACAAGAACACAATATAGCAAAAATAGCTCCAGAAAATGTTCAGGTTTGCCCAATATCCTGTCCTACAGTGGATCACACTGAAAGTGCATCTAGCCCCATATCTGGTGCTCAACAGATGCCGATAGCTGATGCTAAAGGAAGAATATAAAATCAAGGCAACTGTAAAGAGATACTCTCATTCCTAGCCCCCAAGACTTGCATCTCATGGACATCCTGAACCAAAGAAGGTGTCTTGGTAAATAAGGAGGTCAACAAAAGTAATGAGAATTGCAGGATGATGATGACCATAACCAGAAAGATGACCTCAAGCTGAAGGAAGAATTCCATCCAATGACACAGAAAATAGATGTAAGGGGAAGTGAGAATAAGTAGCAGGTGACCGAGATAAAAAATGAAAATAAATAAATAAACAAACAAGCAAAATAAGCAGAAAAGAGTTGAGTTTGTTAGATTAGCTCTCTGTTTTTAAAGAGGGTGCATTCTGTGTTGACCTCCACACGCAGAGTATCAGAGTATCAGTCACAGCCTGTGCTCCCTTCCATACTGCAAAAGACTCCTAGTGTCAAGGGGGAAGCTTACCTCAGCAAGACAGTGATACTTGCTCTTCTTAGATGTTTTTTACCTGCCTGCTTGCTCTCAGTGATCACTGAATACAGACATCACAGCATTATCTAACAACTCCATGATTGCCTTTCTGCAATCACCTCCTTCCAGCCGGCTGCTGTGCTCTGGTGCATGGAGCACTGCAGGGGTGTTGTTCCCTCTGCCAGGGGTAGCCAAGGAGGTGGCATGAAGATTTGGGAATTAATTAGAAAGGGGAGATGGCTCATCTCTGAAACCACAGTCATGATTTGGTTTCACAAGAGTTCTGTGAACTTCTCTTGTGAAATTCTGCTACCCACAATAGCAGAAATTCTACCCTCCCCAAAATCAGTCATTCAGAAAAGATTGGTGCTCCTTCTGAGCAGGAAGACAACCTCTTCTGGTTTGGGATCTCCTCTGGACTTAGAAACATGCAGGATACTAACCCAAATCCCCCTGTAATTTAAGGACATTCCTGCCCAAAGTTCCCATCCTGTCTCACCACTACTTCCTAAAGTAGCAAATAATTTTCATCTGAATATTTGAGAAAGTGGGTCTCCAGGGAGCAGTTGCTTATAAAGCAGTATTCCTGATTTTCATTACTTGTATCATGCACATCTAATAATTCTCAGGGTTCTGCTTCACCACTTAATATCTCAATTACCATGAAATAAAGGAAGGCATCAAGGGTTGAGAATATAGCTGGATGGCTATTTACAACATGGTCTAAAAAACATGTGGCTCTAAACAGGTGTAAAAACAAAACCAAAAATTTGTCCAAGGTTATGGCTGTGATGCAAGGCATGAATTTTCCAATCACGCCTTGCCAAAAGGCATTCTTGAGAGACTGTTGCCAGAAAGAGCTTGTTAAAGTGACATCAGAAGAAAAATACTAATTTACGACATGTGCTACGTATTTTTCAGGAGCCTCAGCTGTCAAAGGATAACACTTCATAAGAATTTGTTTTTTTCTTACGTGCTGAACTCCATGTTTACAATTGCCCACCTCATTGCTGTTGTGCCTAACCCGGGCCTTGTAAAAAGGGATCCTGTAAGTACTGCATGACTCCTCTCCATCTTAACACCCAAGTAAAATTACTATGGCCATGCCAAAACCAGACATTCCTGTTCACCAGTTAATGTTAGCCATCTGGTCAAACATGCATGGATTCTGAGAATTTCACTCAACCTTGCTCAGATCTTTCACTGCGCAATAAAAATCTTTGAATCTGGTACAAGAAAGAGAAGCCTTGGATTTGCTCCAGCCAGCTCATCCATACAGACACATCAGATCCCCACCACTCTCAACACTAACTACCTGACAAATCCCAACAAAGCCCATGAAGGGACAGATGCCCTTGGTGGCTGCCTGACCTTTCTCATAAGTGCACAAGCTGAGAAGGAGCAAGGATGGAGAGAAATGCAACTTTTTTTCAAAATAACACCCCAAAAGATCTGTTTGCTACATTTTTTGTTTGTTTTTTTGTTATTGCTGTTGTTGTGTTTGTTTTGTTTTGGTTTGGTTTTGGTTTTTTGTTTGTTTAGTTTTTTTGTTGTTTTTTTTGTTTTTTATTGGGAAGTGGTAAATCAAAGCAACAGCTTGCTTCACTGCTCTTAGACAATGATACAAATTGTGCCAGCCCCTCAGCTGATAAATATGTATGACAGATTTCAGTCACCCAGCTCTGATCTTGCTCTCTACCAGAGCAATCACATTGTGCCCTGGCTGATGTGAAATTAATGCAAGCCTGGGAATCTCTCAAGTTATGTCACAACACTGATCAACTTGTCTTCTAATAAGATCATTAAATTATGGTTCGAGCATTTATCCGCTTCTAATTTTGTGAAAGCAATTAAACATTAGCACCTGATATTATCTGGCCACATGTGTGTCTCAAATGTGTGCTGGTTAAGTAAGCTGATTAAAGCTTACTTAGTAAGCTAATTAAAGCAGGAAATATATAGACTAAAGAAAACATCACCAGTCCCAGGGACCATCTGGAGATTAAAAAATAGAAGAAGAATAATTTTTAAAAAATCACACATCTTTCCTTACTGCATAGCATCATATGTATGTAGCCTGCACAAGAGATGCAATGAAAATACACTCGATATTTGAAGATAAAAAGCTGCCAAATGATATCAGGCACCTATACTGAAGTAAGATCATTACCTCAGGGTTAAGAATGATACTTCCTGACAGCAGAAGTAAATTATCTGAAGTGCTTTAAAAGCTGAGTCTGCAGCGCGGACTCTTATGCTCCAAGATTTCATTTAAAAACTGTATCTAGTGCCTTTGGGCTGGATCTTTATTTGCAATGACCCCAGTGAAGTCAATGACAAAGCTCTCAGAGATTTTGGTAGAACCATGTAGCCACAGGACAGGTACCTGCATGCTGAGCATCACCCAATCAAAACCCCAACCTCCGTTACTATGGCAACAGACAGTATAGAAATTACATAAGTGGTTACCTTTGGAGGCCGTGGGGCCCCAGAGCAGTGCACAGGTTCATGTATGCAGTCAGCTTGCAGGTGTCTGGCTGGAATACGAAGAGGACCTTTAGTGCTGAATGGAGTCATGGAAATCACCACAGTATATCAGAAAGTAAGGACCCAGTACCCATTCAGACATGCTCCAGTCTTGCTGTCAAGTCCCGGCTCTCTGCCACACAGCTTATTTATGCCTTAATGTATAAATAATTTGCACTCCCTCTTACATGGGTGCAGCAGCAGAGCTAGTAAGGGAGAACCCAAAGCAATCCACATTTTATTACAAGCACCATGATTTCATTTTCTCAGCAAGGACAGGTTGGGCATGGGCAGGGCTGAGCTGAGCCTGGTACAGTCCTTTCCATGGGCAGTATCTGTAACTTAGCTCTTGGACATGGGGTGTGATAGGCTAGAGCCTGTTCTTTGCTCCTTGTGTAGATGTAGATACATTTTAAAGATCCTGCACTAGTTTACCACCCTAGCTGATGGTGCAGCATGCACTCTGCCTCTGACGGGAGCACCTAGTCCCTTCCCCTCCCCAAGAATTTAGGCCAAAGTTGTTATTTCTGTGGGCATGAAGTGGGATGACAAAGAGGACTTCGTTTATCTGCACTGCCCAAAACCCATCTCCTGGAAGGAAACAAACCTTCAGGAGAAACAAAGTTGCTTCCCACTCAGCATTATTAGTGAGATGAAGAAAAAGTAAGGAGAGCTAAAAAAGTCGGTGACCACTAGCACTGCAATCTTTAAAGCAAGGCCATGGTAGTAGTAGTAATATTAAAAAATCTAGTATGCTCATGGACACCAGAGCACTATAAATAATCTCACCATTGACAAGTTAAAGTGAAAACCACGACTGCCCAAGTGTATTAGATTTTCCTCCCTCTCACAGTAAAACAGTAGAAATGAAACGTTGAGCTGTGTGGACAGATGAGGAGTGTATAAAGGGTAGTTACTGTCTTTTATGGGGTTACAATATTTGTGACTTCCCGTATTCTCAAAGTAATAAAGAGGGAATGAGAGCCAAGAAAACAAAGGAAATTCACATTTCAGGAACAGTGTTAATTTTAGGTCTTTTTACCATTTAAAAATTACCTTCTTATCTCTTGTTGCTTTCGGTTCCTTCTGATAGAGGCTGGCAGAGCCTGGGGGTTTTAAAACATATTTTTTCTCAGATGAGAGGCTCATAGATGATACCAGTGAAGATAAATGGCAAAACTGCTGACCCATGTGATTTGTATTTGCCTCAGTAGTCCCAGCATGGTGCAGCCACCCCTGGAAGCAGCAAAGGTGGAGCTCCACAAAGGAGAAGGGCACTTTGATCCTCTGAGTTATTTCATGTATTATACTTGTGGTAGAGCTTCAGGAGGCTCCATTCTTGTTAAATTAATTTGGTTCTTTATTAATGTAACTATTTGCATTAATGTAACTAAGTCCTTCATCTTGGTACATCTGTTCCTCCATCCTGCTTCCACTAGATCACTTACAGCAGCCTCTGCAGCCAGTTTAGCCCCAAAGAGTTGACTCAAAACTATTCTAGAGCATCATCTAGATGCAGAATTACTCAAAGACCAAACTTCTAACAGAGAATTACTGGTCAATGCCTAGCAGTCATGTCTCCTGAGACTTCTAGTGTATCTTCTATGCTAGGTCAGTGTTTTTGTGAAAGCTGTCACTATCTTGTCTAGGAGCCCTTTCTGTAATGAACGGTCCAACTGGCCATTTAAAACATTGCTGTTCTGCTGCCTCAGGTGTAAGAATGCAATTTGGTGAGACCGGGCTCAGTGTTTAACTGTGAATTTACAAATTGTGCAAATTCTGTGCATTTGCAGATTATATTTGTGCACTGACTTCACCAGGACAAACTGCCTCAGCAAGGTTAGCCTGGAGGGAATCAAATGTATTACTTGCTTTTGTGTAAGTCAAAGTGGGCCAAAGTCAGTCTCCAGTTATACCCATGCCAAACTCTGTTGAAGTCAAAAGTTTTCTGCCAGTTTTGTGTCTTGCCAACCATGTACAGTAATTAAATTATTACATTTTGTTCAGCTCCAGATTAAAACAGGGAGCAAAAGTGCCTGTGGTGAACAGGTGAACCAAACGCTTTAATTCATTATTTACATCAAAGGACTGAGGCCATGCTTTAGACTTTGCAGGTCTCCCCGAATAATTTTTGACATTAGAAATAAATCCACAAATCCCATTAGTTTTCCTTTGCCTGAGGAGGTACACAAAGACAAGCTCGCATCTCCCATCCCTCCCACTTGCCCTGTAACAGCTACCTGCCTTCTCATTAGCTTTCACCAGTAAAGCAGAGAAGGGCGGGTGTTTGTGTGGCACAAGTCCTTTCCTGACATAGCAAATCCTATACCAGGACAGGAGTCACAAACTCTTTTGAAACAGGAACCGGTGTAGTCACTAGCATCCTTCTAAGATTCATTTAAATTTTTATTTTTTGAAACACAAAAAGAATGCCACTAGTAATTGGGAAATCGATGGAAAGAGAGGGAGAACAGGAAGGCTTAGCTCTAATGCTCTGGTTTAGAGAGAAGCTGTTCTGGCTAACAGGCATTTCTGAATTGGATTACAAAACACCATATCACACTTCTGAGGTCCATAGCTGCGATGACTGAGCCTGAGAGGTGCAAGCAAGCCCAGTCGCTGATGTGCATGTGTCTGCAGGGGGTCACCTCGGGAGGTGACAGGGAAAGGAAATTGCTGTTCCATCTGCCTATGCCCTTATCCATGAAACAGAACTGACACACGGAGAGGACAGTTGCTCCTGCTGCCATTGCGTTTCTGTAGTATCAGCAGAATTGCACTTCTCAGGGTATAATTTTTTGCTTCCTAACAACATTTGCTGTCTAGACTCCCCTTCACCAGTCCTGTCCAGCCCTGCTAAGTCACAGGGGGAAGGAAAATGGAGCGGTACTGTGCAAGACACGCAGGGACAGGATCTCCTGCTCTCCAGCTCTGGTACCCAGGCACAGCTGGCACAGGAGCGCTGACAGTGTCCTGTGCCTGTGAGCAAAAGGCAGTGTGACCTTCCTTGGAGGCAGGGAATGACTGTGACTTTGGTTTAGGAACATATGTTTGCCTTCAAGAGGATATTTGTTTTACACTGGTGAATCATTTGCAAATGAAGTTTCTGCCAGCAGTAAGCTCATGGGCAGTGCCAGGGCTGTGCTGCACCAGTTTTACCTTCATTGAAATCACTGGGTTGCACTGGCATAACACTGCAGTAATTCAGATGTAAATTATAATCTCTCCTTCCATCCTAGGAAAAATCAAGTCTTCCCCTTCCCATGAGGTTCAGTAAGCTTAATGCAGACTAAGGGATGTTGTAAATTCAGAACTAGCCGTATTCAAATAATTCTCACAAACTTTCAGTCTGGAATAATATCTACATTCATTTTAAGACAGATCTGTCAGGGTCTAAATGGCATGAAACAGAGCAGTAATTCCCATCATTTTTCCCAAGGTCTTTATATTCTTGTTTATAGTCTCAAAACTCTCAGAGCAATGAAGGAAACAAAGCACCGTGTAATCCTGGTGGTGTCAGAT